CATTAATACATTAATACAGCTGTGTCTACAGTGTGAAATAGAAAAAAAATTTCAGTGGTTGTATGCATAATTAAAAAACAATCAGAGACTGTGTAGAGATTATTATATTGAGTTAATACAGAGAAACTCACTAATATATGAATTACTGGAATTGTTTCATATTTTACAGATTTCACACATTCCTTTAAACAACTTTCTCTCTTTTATAACCTTCTTATAGGTATTACATTAGAATCACATTATTCTAAAATATTTTCATAACACATAGTCTCAAGTACTTCTTATAGAAAAGCCAGATGATTATTTGAGAAAATAATCCTTTGAACTTACCTCAGTTATAGGTCATAGGTTAATGCTATGGGTATAGATAATGCCCAGTATCTGAGGACGTTACAATAAACAAGTAAAAAGGTACAAAATCTATTTACAAAATGCATGCATTGAATACAGATACTCGTTTATCTGTATATATGTTCTGGAGTGTATGCTATGTCAGGACTGTAGGCATGACTGTTTTACTCACCTCTCTGAAGCAAACACAGTTTGACATCCTCCAATAGAAAAAGAGTGATCTTTGAAAGAGAACTGGAGTTAAGATAAGAACAAATTATACCTGCAGGAGAAGGTTTTGCTACTTTTTTCATCAATGTGCTGCTGCCTTTCAGTTGTTGCTATAGAAATCCAGCAGACAGGGAGACTGTAGGGCCTTTATAGATAGGAAGTTCACTTAAGCCAATCAGTGCTCTGCCCATTTAGACTTATCATGGTTGCCTCCATGTCATTAATAAAAAAGAGACAACAATGGGAGTGCTGCCACATGAAAGTTTAAGAACCCATTGCTTTCCTTCTTGTCTATGAGGCAGTCTGCCTGCTGTCCAGATACAATAGAATTCCTAATCAAACTTTAAGTAGATTATATAGCTCACTAAACCTGACGGCACATCCTTCTCTTCTTCCCCTGAATCTCTAAATCCCCACTGCATTCTCAGCAGCCACATAGCATAAACCAGTTATCTCTGAAACTTACCCATTTTATTTCATTCAAAGACCTGCTTTCTCTCTCTCTCTCTCATGTGCTCTCTTATTTTTCTTCCCCTCTTCTTTTTTTTTTTTTTTGTTAACAGTTAAATTTCCCCTACATGTAGAAATTTCCTGAATTAATAAGGAAAATGCAAGTTAAATATGAATTTGATCCTTTAGATATAGGAGAGGAGAAAAAACTACATGAAAAAAGTTAATTTTCATCTAGAAAAATAAAGATCGACTAGGAAAACATTTTTATTTCAACATATAAAGTTAGAGGATATGCTTATGTTTGCAGTGATCTTTCCCTCATAAAATGTCAATTTCTTCATAAATTTTAGAATTTCTGTAGGATTCTAGAATTTCTTCAGAAATTATAGCAGTTATGCAAAAAAAGTGTGATAAATAGCTGTGAAAAATATATATTCATTTGACATAATAATACAGCATTCTTACTGATTCTTACCTGGATTATTCCTCTTGCTTATTTGTATCTGTAATATATTTATGTGTTTGGAGCTATTAATTTTATGTATATCATCATAGATTCCTGTAGAGTAACACTTACAGATTAGATGTGAAACTATGTCACAGAAGTCACAAATGTATTCCACCCCTGACTTATGATATACCTAAAAACTCCAGACCTGAGGCTCAATTCTGTGTCTGTTGATGTAATTGGAAAGTCATTCATTTTAATAGAAATTGTACTTTGCTTATGAAACCAAACACTTGCAAAACCTGATGCAAAGCCATGGTTTCTGTCTCTGGTTTATCAATTGACATTATCTCCTTTGTTCTGGCTTTTTTGGGCATCATAACATAGTGTTATTGCTTTGATGTTTCATACCAGCTTCATGCTTACATATGAACTTTACCATTCATATTATAATTTTATGGTTTCAAAAGTAAATTACATTGTGATTTTAGAAAAAAATTGTGTAGTGTCAAAAACATATACTTTTTTCAGGAATCCATCTTCTTATTTCTATAATTAAAAAAATTTGATAATATCTTGGTACTTTCCAGGAGACTTTCAGTTAATGGTCTAGTTATGGACCAGTAAGGGTTTGGTGGTTTTTTTTCCTTTTTTGAGAGCGTTTCTCTTTGCTGAAATTCTCTCCTAGAATTTCTCTCTTTTTTTGGCAGGGGGAGCTGTGGTAAGCATCTAAGATTTGCATGATTTTGCTGCTTTATTTGAAATAAATTTCATGAAACATTCTGATGCTGAAAATATAACTGTGCTAGGAAGCTGGGTCCAGTTGGGGCTAGTAGCAAAATCAACTGTGCAATAAATAACAAAATGCAGGAGAAAAAAATTTGTTTCATATCAATCCATCTGTGAATCACTGTGAAAAATACACACCAAATAATTAACTTAATTTCTGTAGGTCTACAGATCTAATTTATGCTATTTCTTATATTTGATCTTTCAAGTGGGATTATGCCCAGCTCTTAACATTAAATGGAAAGAAATAAAGAAATAATCCTGGGGGCTGGAGGGAAGAGGGAAAGGGTGTGGGGTTTTTTGGGTTTTGGGATTTTATTTTTTTTTAAGCTGATGTATCTTTTGTGTGATCAGTGGGAGAGCAGCAGCAGAACTTGCAAAACTCTGGAGCATTTTTTAATTCTTCAAATTCTTCTGACACTACTCAGTGGTAAATGTTTAATTTAATGATATAGGAAATAGGGCATATACTATATAAATCTTCCATGAGTTATCATTCCAAAGCCAGCTTATGACTAAATATTGCCAAGCTAAATGTGTACCCAAGACATATTTCTATTATAAATTATCATAGCTAATTATACACAAAAGTGCTTTTATGCTTGTGCTTAAAAGAGTTATCAGGTACTGGATAATTTCATTAGGTATTAGTTATTTTTTGAATAATGAGAAATAATCACCATCCACTTGCTCCGTTAATTCATGGTTTTAACTCTCTCTACTAAGTGTCCCAGACATAGCTCATTTTCATAAGTTGAAATGCTAACCTCCCCATGCCCCGAAGTAGGAAATAATTTTGATAGAAAATTCTCTTCTTTCTTTTAAAGTTTTTTTTACTGATGAAAATAAAGGTAATAAGAATTGCACAAAGCACTGAAATTGCTTACAAACCATATGTTAATTAATACATAATAATTTTTATAATATAATTATCATTCTTCATTATTTATAGTCTATATAGTTATTTAATATATTGTTCATCTCTCTGATGCTGAACACTGAGTTGAAATTTTCAGCTAACTGTCAACAGTAGCTTCAGGATCACTTACACGAGAAGCAGCAGCTAACTTTGTGTCATACTTTCCCTCAGGCATATTACCTTGCACTTATCAACACTGAATTCCATCAGCAGATACTACTCATGTAACATTTTCAAATCCTTCTGCAAGTCTGTACCATCACCTTCAGATTTGTCCAACTGAAAAAATTACAATTTTCTCCCTTCTCCAAGTCATGTCAGTAAAAAAGAAAAAGAACAACTAACAGTTTCTTGGGCAAAGTCTGTCCTTTTGCCCATTTTGTTCTTGGATCTCAGTTCCTGTGCTGTTGCTTGCATCCAACTAAATTTTGGCGAATGCCTTGTTAGGGTAAATCTGTCCTACAGCAGCCAAGTCTATGTTCCTGGTGAAGCAGGGAGTAAGGAAGATGGAAATGAAAATCAAATTTCCATGATCAGTGGGAAAGCAACGGCAGAATGGCAGAATTTGTGGGACCATGACGCATTTTTAAATTATGTAGAAAGTGAAGAAGTGGACTATGAAATATTCAGGATTCGGAGGGCAAGAAAGTTGAGGTTCATGAACACAGGAGCTTCAGGGCAGGGTATGAAAATGGGGTGGCACAGTGGGACTGTGTAGTTGAGGATGGCAGAGGGCAGGGGAGTTGAAAGGGAGCTTAGTGTGGTAGCAAAACTAAGGCTCTACTTGGAACAGAGAAGAGTGGACATGCTTGAAAGGTTATGAATCAAGTACTTGGGAAATTAGAGATTTTGATGGCTAGGAGGAAAGATTGGCCATTCAGAGTCTGAGCACATTAGGAAGAAAGGAAATGGAGCTATGAGATTAGTCAGAGCAGCTTTGGAATTAATACTTTGTTGTATATCCCCTCATGCTCTGAGGGGATATTTCAATTTTTTGATTGAAATAGCATATATAACACTGCTGGAAATCACCCTGAATTACTAAACATAACTTTTATTTGTTTTATACTTTTCAACTGGTGTTTAATTTATGAAAGGACTTGTGTCTTATTTACACATCATTCATCATCCTACCGTTGAATGACTTTACAAACCCTTATACAGATAATTTATTAAACTGTCTGTGGTAGGTTGACCCTGGCTGGATGCCAGGTATGCACCCAAGGCTGTCTATTATTCCCTTTCCCAACTGGACAGGGAAGAAAAAATAGATATAAAGGCTTATGAGTTGAGACAGGGAGAGATAATTCATCAATTACTATTACAGGCTAAACAGACTTGACTTGAGGATATCAATCGAATCTATTATCAGTCAAAACCAGAGTAGGATAATGAGAAGTGAAACAAATATTAAAAACACCTTCTCTGAACCTGTCCCTCCTTCCCAGCATCTATTTCCTCCCCCCAGTAGTACAGGGAGATGGGGAAATGGTCGTCAGTTCATCACATGTTGTTTTGACTACTGCTCAGGGAGAGGAGTTCTTGCCCCGCTCCAGCATGGGATCCTTCCCACAGGCTATGAACTGCTCCAATGTGGGTCCCTTTCCAAGGGCTACAGTCTTTCAAAGAAAGCCTGCTTAAGTGTGGGTCCCCAAAAGTGTCACAAGTCTCACCAGGAAACCTTCTCTACCACGGGCTCCTCTCTCTACAGGTCTGCAGGTCCCTCCCAGGAGCCTGCTACAGCATGGGCTTCTCACAGGGTCACAGTCCCCTTTTGGGCAGTGTTATGTTTGCTTAATAATTTCATCAAAAAAAAACCTAAACAATATTTAAGGTAGCAACAATTTTAATTGAATAGTTTAGAAAATATATAAATAAGGGATAATTTGGTTCAAATAATAGCGCATAAGCAAAAACAACCGCGGGGTACGGAAGGCAGGGTTCTTGACTCTTGCCACTTCATGTACAAGCTTGCTAAATAAAAGTTACTCTTTATATGCTATGTGTGAAGGCTATCTCTTTCTATTTTCAGTTTGTCACTTTTCTGTCTCTGCTTTCATTACTACTTTTACTACACATTCTCTACTACTCAGTTTAGTAGTCGCACAAGTCTTTGAGGGTTGTCACTGATGAAGGCCCTGTAGTCTTCTTCGTTGTCTTTTAATTCATTTTTGGGTTACACATGCGCACCAAGCCAGTACAATATAAGCTAAAACTAATGTATCACTGTATTTACATATCAAAGCAATAAGTCTTTTATAATTAGCATTTTCTTAGACCCAACCAGGTACTTAGTCATTTTTAGCAACTGTATCTTCAGCTTCTTTCTTGTAGTCCTTGAGAACATCTGCTGAGAAAGGAGAGTGAGTAGAGCTCCTCCTTTCCCTCTCTTCTTTGGCATTACAACTTTTAACTATTAACTATTTTATTATTTTCAAATATTAATTACTGTATCAATATTAATTATTGTTTCAATTTTTATCAGCACGAATCATACCTATTTACCACAGGCAACGACCTGCTCTGGCACAGGTGTCCTCAGGCTGAGGATGGATCTCTGCATGTCTGTGAACTTCCATGGGCTGCAGGAGCACAGCTGCCTCACCATGGACGGCACCAGGGGCTGTGGGGAATCTCAGCTCTGGCACCTGCAGCACCTCCTGCCCCTCATCTGCACTGACCTTGGTATCTGCAGGGCTGTCACTTCACATATTTCCACTTCTCTCTTCCCTGGACACAATTACTTCAGGTATTATCTCTGATGGGCTCAGCCTTGGACAGCAGCAGGTCTGTCCTGGAGCCTGAATTAGTTCCACCAGATGCGAAGGAAGCTTCTGGCATCTTCTCACAGGCACCACTGTAGTCCCACTGCTAGCAAAACCTGGCCCTGCAAACCCAATACAGTCCTTAATTAGGTAAACTGTGATTTTATTGCTCCATTTAACAAATTTTTAAGTGAGTGAATTTTGATGACTTGCTTGGGATCACAAAGTTAAGTCTGCCAAAGTTAAGACTTACCAAAATTTTTTATTTCTTAGCTTCACACAGCAAATAAAGTAATTAAAGCAAATGTATAGGTCAGCAAAATGAAATTAAATTAGACATACAAACAAACACAGACAAGCTGTTAAACCAATCCAGAAATGCTAAGTCACCCTTTCTATCCAAAAACATACATGGAAATTAAAGATAGGCTTATTTCAGCGAACTCAATGAAGTGTAACACTGCTTACTGAACTAGAAATATTTACTATCCTGCATTTTTAGTAATATTCTTTGGAAAATGCAAATCTTTCATCAAACCAAATGGGGGAAAAAAAGGTAGGGGTTTTTTTTGATCAATTATTTTTAGTTTCAATATCTTTAGATTTTAATAAGCATTTTATAAAAACATTCCTAGGGTTTCCTGAATTGTAACAATATTATCATTTAATTTACTCTTTCTGTGAATGGAGTTAAATCCAGCTGGTGGATGGTTGTAAATTGTGTTTCCCAGGACACAGTTTGTGGGCCAATTCTGTTTAATATCTTTATTGATCTGGATTAGGGGACTGAGTGCACCCTCAGAGAGTTTGGAGAGGATAAAGTTCAACAGGACCTTCTGGAGGGTAGGAAGGTTCTACAGAGGGATCTGGGCAGGCTGCATTAATGGCTGAGGCCAGCTGTAGGTGGTTCAGCAGTCCCCATCCCTGGAAATGTTCAGAAGGATTGGGGATGCAGCACATGGATACATGGTTTAATGGGGAACATTGTGATGCTGAGCTAACAACTGAACTCAATGATCTTAGAGGTTTTTTCCAGCCCTAATGATCCTATGATTCTATGCTTTTATTTTTTGATACAGTACTGAATTCGTAATTTACTGATATGTTTTATTGGCAACATTCTATATGTTTAGAAAAATAAATTAAAAACTAGTTTTTGAACTAAAGAATTATCTATGTTTTTTTTTTTTCGTTTCTTTCCTAATGAGGGTATAATTAAATTAATTGTTTTTCTTAAATTAAAGAAAATTACAAGGAGCTTGGGGTGTTTGGGACCCGCATTATAAAATACAGCACCAAGTCTCAGATAGCTGAAGCATAAGAAAATGCTCATGGAAGCTAAACTCTGAAAATTTCAGAAGTTTGAGAAGACTGTTTTGTCAAAAAGGCGGATGGATCTGCAGCACTTGGGGTTGAGGTGAAGAGTTGTATTTAATAAAAGAGAGACATAAAGCCTGAGCAAGAAAGATCACTTTTTGACAGATGATAAGCTTCTGAGTTTTCATGAACCAGCAAGATAGGGTTTTCATATATTTTTATAGTAGTTTGGTCTTGGAGATTAGAAAACTGAAGCATGAATTGACCCTGAAAACAATGTTGGCTGGCATTATTAATGAGGTTCCACAACCCTGAGGAGGAATAATATGCACTCTTATTGATATGTTTGCTTGTATGCCACCGTGGTTAAAAGTGTCTCAGACCCTGAACCAAAGGACAAAATATAGGTCAAGTCTCCCTGAACAATTTCTCATGCTTTTAACTCCATAATTCCATTGAATTGGTTTACGTAAGCCAAAAATCTGAATATTCAGAATATATTTTTATTTATAATATTTTCATATCTAATTTATATATTCAAAATACTCTATTTAAGTGTACGTATTTGATAAAGCACTGCCAAGGGTGCCCATTTTAAACCATAAATATGAAATTTTTGCAAATAATATTTTAAGCAGTGAAAACCCTTAGTCCCACAAGCAATTTATCTGCGCTCAATTTTCCCAGTTTAAAAAAAACTAAATTATTTGGATTTAGCCTCAGATTTTCTAATGGTCTTTTGAAAGAAAAAAGAAAGAAAACTTGGGGTGTATTTAATTTGTTTTCACCAGCACTACTCACAATACTGTGAAATATAGAGAACTGACTGAGTGGAAAATTTTGCCAGAAAGTATCTGAGATTGTACAGTCAGAGTAATTTGACATCTGTGGTTTAGCATTTTTATGAGTCATTTATTAAGTGCATTAAAAATATGCCTTCCCTCTAATCTACCTTATTTGTGTCATTATCTGTTCTCTGTAATTCACTCACTAGAAAGGGATCTAAATAAAACCAAAGCAAAACACCAGAGTTCAGCACCCCTGTGTTGATCAAGAAGCATGAGCAATGCACTTTCTGGAAGAGTGCTGTCTGATTAGGATTATTGCCTTTGTGATTTACTTCCAAATTTATTTGTGCAAGACGCCAAAATAAAAATCTCTGAAATCCACGAGAAGTGAGATCCCAGTGTGCTCTGACCTCTTCATCATACCCAGAAATGACAACATGATTTTCTTAGAAATTAATTAGGATGAAAGGTAGAATGATTCCACAATCAAACAGGGAGATAAACCAGAGTTTGCAGCGTATGAGTGATGTAAACACCATTCAAGCATGAAAAAGTAATATCAGGAAAAAATATTGAATACTTCCTTTAGTTTCTATATTAAGGCCATCTATAGTTTTATACATAGCATATCAATAATAAGTGGGGGAATTTAGCTTCTAGATATAAAATATATCTAATTTGAACCAAATATTTAGTTTGAGGACTATTAAACTTTTTTTCAGTTCTTCCTTTTTTGTTGCAGGTAGACAATATGAACATATTCTAAAAGGCTTTGGTCTAACAACATAGAAAAATTTGTCATTTTTTTACTAGAGAAAGGGGTCAATTACTGGGAAGGTATTTACTGTATGCAGGCTTGAAATGCATTATTATTAAGACTTTATTAAGTAGGTGATGGGGACCATAAGACTGAAAACTATTAATTCCACTAACAGTGAATTTTTTGCTTTTTATATCTTGTTTGTTTCTTTTTGTTTACAGGAAGATTTTGATGCAAGAATGGCAACATAAAAAGTGTATGTGCAAAGTCTTTGTAAAGTTTGTAAGAATTGTTTTGGCAAAAATTGCTTACAAAAATTACACTTTCGCTATCCTTGCTATGAACTAAGCCTTCTTCCCAGTGTTTCATTCAGCTTAGTTGTGGAAATAGAGAATTCTATTCATTTTCTTGGATAACTAAGTAAGATGAGAAAACTCTGCAAAGAAGCTTTTCCAGAAGATCATTTTGAGCTGGACATTGAGAGACAGATCTATACTTTGTTACTGAAGAGAAGCATGATTCTGCAGATGCATGAGGAGTTAGACTGAAATCACTCCTAGAAGAGCTGAAGTGCAGGGAGGAAATCAGAGAACCCTTTGCACACAGTGTGGAGTTACCAAGTTTGAAAGAGTGGGCAGAAATAGCAGTTTAGGAGAAAGGATAAGACTGGCCTGTGTTTTTTAAGGAATTCAGTCTTGAAAGAGAAGTTGTCTGTAGCGAAGTGTGGTAAACTAAAAAGTTATTCTGAAATGTTAACAATTCTTGGGCTAGGTGTGTGGTGATAAATTTGTGAGTCTTGCTGTAGTGGCTTCCTTAGAGTAGCACAATTTTATCCTGAAGTTACTAAGAAATCAAAAGAGACATTTTCCCAAAACTGTTCTGTTTCCTGATGCAAATTTTCTACTGTACTTCTTCTGTAGGAAGATATACAAGAGAATCACATGTATAACAGTAATTTATTTTCTTCAAAAGCTTGCTTACCTCTTTTCTTTACTATGTCACAAGGCTCTTTCTTACTGAACAGAACATTAACAGTTCCATTTATTCAAAGGATGGGACACTATGTGCATGGATAAAGATTTTAAAAATGGGTCTAGATTAACATGTAATGATTCTCTTTTCATTACCACACATACACTGGAGTAGGAAGCACAAAATCCATAAGCTAAAATTGTTTTATTTTATCTTCTCAAGCCTTGCTGCTCATGATCAGTAGGAATAGACAGGGGCACGAATGTTTTTATTCAGTGCTGGCATGGCATCAAAATATGTCCAGAAAGATACTGAGGCTGCCTGCACCTTTTCCTTAGCACTCTCTGAAGTTTTAGACATCACAGAAAAGTTATGGATTCATTGCCTTTTACTGCCAAGTATAGGCTTTAAAATATTGCCCTGACATGTCATGGTATAAATTGATAAAGATACATCGTTGCTCATAAGTAGCAATTATGTTTTATATATTTTCTGCTAAAAGAGAAAACAGTATGCAGCCTGCCAAGATTTCTCATTAAAAGTTTAAAAAATTAGAAATACTTGTTACTAATTAGATAATTAGGCAGTAGATTAGAAACCTCGAAAGAGAAATGCACTTAAGCCTAGTAGTATGTTACAATATATCTGTTTGAATTAATTTCTGTGGTATCATTAGCATTATGTATTAACATCACAGTTTAGATTAAAATGTGTAATCTGAGGTACCATTATGTCTAACACTTTGCATCTCACTGGATTTTTCATGTGTCTAATTAGCACAAAGTTCACGTTCATGTTTTTTCAATATGAACACAGCTTTAAAGAAGCATATCACTGATTATGCTAATACATCTGGTGGAGCACCACAGAGATGAATTTTTTTCACTTTTCTAAAAGGTGAATACAACTACAAATCTAGCAAAGAAAAAAAATCCGTGATTTAGTACATTACCTTTGGACACTTGTTTCAATAAGAAAGAATTTTGATAGTTACACAAAGAAGAGAAACCTGGTCTGATCCAAGAATTAAAATAAAAGTCTCTTTACATGCCATTTATGAATAATTTAAGAAGTTCAGTAATCCGATATTACTGAATATTATTTATTAATAATTTTAGTAAACAAGAATAAAGTATGCAGATACTTAGAAGGACAATGTCAAATGAGAGGATACTTTTGTCGGTTTTAACAGATTAAAACCTCCAAATTTGCTAACACAAGACCTGAAAAGTAGTATGAATAAAAACTTTGAACCCGGTCTTTTATATTTTCCTCTTCCCTATCTTCTTATGTATGTCACATTTCTTTTAATCCCAGCTTTTCCTGATTCCTAGCTTTCAGAACCTTGTAATATCTTACAATTTATCCCCATCATTTTGCTTTCTCCTATCTTTTATTGCATTCAATTTTCTGTCTATCCACTTAAATGTATATCTGAATATGACTTATTCTACTGATTCCATCTGTTATCTCTTCAAAAGTAGCAAATGAAGGTCATTCTTAACTGAGCAGATTCACGACCATAAGGAAATAATAAAAAGAATTTACCTCCATTATTCATCTGTTATAGGCACATGATGGTTACTTTAAAAAAAATCACATTTTCCCCTCTAAACCCTATGGAATTCAACTTATATAGTGAAATTGGTTTCCCCAGGAGTTGTTCACACAGCAACCATGTCCTTTATTTGAGAATATAAACTGTTTCCTGAGAGCAAACCTGAAAAGTCAATTACAGTTTATGAGTTAAACACTTAAATGTTTTCTTGATTCATTTGGTTTGAAATGTGGAAGACAGTTTTTCTTAAACAGCTACTGATTTCAGAAGGAGCTAAGTCTCCTAAATACAAGTTAGACACCCAACAATCATTGTAGAAATGACCACAAGGGCCATTTTCTAAGACAATAATATTTCATATTTTATGTTCTTAATTAGGGAAGCTTGAAAAATTAACTAATTCCCTTTTCCAAACAAAAGGAGACATAATAAAATTATAAAAAGCTGGAAGCTAGAAACATCTTGGGAAGGGATTAATTTATCTGGGACGGACAGTTTGAAAGCAGCATTTGAAACCAATCTCCAGAGAGATGGAGAATTTACTAATGAGCACTAAATATTCGTAAATGTGTGATTATGGACATTGTAGTCAATGAGTGTCCATGTATTTTACATATAACTAAGTTCTCATGCAAACAGACAATAGGAAAGTATCCCAGATTTAGTGTTTCTCTGCTATCTAGGATGTAAAGAAAACAAGCTGAGCCTTATGAATGAAAAAAAAAAAGCTGTTAGAGCTTGTGTAGTTAGAAATTCCCATTGTTTAACAGCAGGTCCTATTTCTGGGGCAGGAACTTCAAACCATGGAGAGACAGGATGATTGTTTTCGTTATGTTTTACATGTGCATTGTTTGCTTCCCTGCCCTTAGGGAAGGCAATCTTCCATCTATCTCAACACCTACTTTTTGTCAAGATTTAGGATTCCATCCCTAGCCTGCAAATATGATATGAGAAAGTAACATTCTGAAGGGAATGTCAGTTGGGTTGTTTCCATTCTTTTTATTTATATTGTATTAGGGCAGTTTGCTGTCCTGAAATACTCATATATTTGGGACACTTCTGTTTATTCTTAAAGGGACACTGAAGATGCTCAGTGCTCTTTAGGACATACTAGTGGTCTAAATTGCATACTAAATGCAATTAGTATATAAATTTAAATTAAAAATGCATTCTGAATTCTGGTTTTCATGACATTGACTGAATCTATTCCAGTTCTTCTTGGCAACTGCCTGGATTATGTTGTTTAAATGTGGTTTTCTTCCTATCCCTGTATCAAAACCTTGTTCATCCTGGCCCTCGTTTGTGCTTCTTTGTGCCACAGCACCTCTTTCATCACTGCACTTACAAAAAAAGATTAAACTATTCCAGGAAGTGGGAGAGTAATGCAATTGAATGGATATTTAGGAGGCCTGGATGTGCATGAATTGGCCTTCAGTAAATAGTTTGGCCCTATGCCTTTAGTCTTTAAAGCAAATTAAATCCTGAATGGCATTTCTCCAGGAAACATGCTTGATGGATTCCAAATCCCAAATATTAAACATAGGCTGAATTTCTGAAGTATTTTTTTCCTTCATAAATAATTTTAGGAGGTAAAACCATTCTTTTCAATAGACAACTAAGGTTGCAGTGCTGTCCTAGCCCCGAAATCTAAAATGCTAGACTGAAGCTATGCTAAAAATTGATGATACAGAACTGTAAGGAATTATTTACTGTGTTCACCGCTGGCTGGTGACACTATTAGGCTTCTATGGTTGAAACACAAACAGAATAGACAGAAATATGTTTTTGTAATTGAATTCATACCTTAAAGTCATCTTAAAACTTTCCACAGGATTTCTCAATATATATGGGTTTAAGTATTCTAAATAATTTTTTAGAGAAGCAAGAGGCAAGAGCTTTTATGCAAGAGACCTACTGTATGAGACCGGCCCTAAGAACATTTTATCTTAGAATTGAAATTACTTGCTAAAGGGCTCAAATATTCTGTCTTTTATGAACTTGAGTGGTGAACAAACCCTGTTATTATTTGAGTTTTCTCTATTGAATGTGTGACCTTTTAAATATGACAGAGTTGGTTGGCCCACACCTTAGCTGGAGCCATTTTCAGGAAATTTGTGTAATATTCTTACTCTATAATAATTCTGTGTTTATATAGGTATAACTCATAAGCAGGAGCTCTGGACCAGAAAAAAATCATAAGTAACTGAGGACGTATTAAATATCAGAAAATAATTTGACAGCTAATTTCATTTAGTCAGTACATTTGAAAACCATTGAATAAAGGTTAAATTAACATATAATTTCTTAGACAAGCAAAGTAGTACTTCCTAATATCACTGACTAGTTTGTAAGTGTAGTTTATTTTTTTTCTGAAATCAAAATACTAAGATTTGAAGACAGAAATGGAATAACAAGTATATTTTCAAGTTTATATGTCCAGCACTTCAAAAGAAGTAACGGAATTTATCTTGCCTCCTTTTTTTTCTCTAAAACATTTTTCCTATAAATGTAATTCAGAAGAGCAAGCAAAGACTTCTCTTACCTGTTAAAACACTATAGTCTTACACACAATGTACAAGCAAAATGATGATTTGTTTTTTCTGTCATGTAAAACTCAGAAGACAGCTGTGGTTAGGTTTGGGATAGAAATCTCACTAGAAATCTCTTCCTTATCCCACTGCTGTAGTGGCATAGAAGCGTAGCTGAACAATGAAATAGTTCCTTAGCCCTGAACTAAGAGTTGACTGTTGCCAAAAGACGACAGAATAAAAAACTTGGAGATGGGGGAAATGGAGAATGTGAAACACTCTCTTTGTGGGCACTCACCAGTTATACCAGGTCAATATGAAGGTGTCTGCACCCTGCATGAAAGTGCTAATTAAAGGAGCAAGTGTAAGGAGAGGGCCTGCTTCTCTAAGGGTACCTGGTCAAAGGAGCCACAAAACAAGAACATACAGAGAGAAGCCTGACCAATGTGCAGTAATGTAGATGGTGAAGACAGCAAACCTGATCAATCACACAAACTGGGAAGGGTATGTAGGTTGTGAAGGTGTTTATTTTTTTCAGTTGGAAGGATAAGGAAATGGAGTGAGACAGAACTTGGAGAGACATAAACCCTGGTGAATTAGCGCTAACAAACAATAATCAAGGACAAACCTGTCAAGTCATTCTAACTGATGGACTACCAAGAAAGAGCAGACAAAGCAGGAACCTGCAAAAGGCTAAGCCACTAGCCACCGTGTTTGAGAAGTTGTGGCAGAAAAGGGGAAACATATCCCTTGTTTTTAGAAGAGGAAAAAGGAAGGCCTGAGTGACACTCCAGTCAGTCTCAACTCTGTGACCAGCAAGATCATGGAGCAGATTCTCCAGGAAACTGTGCTAAAACACATGGAAAATAAGGAGATGATTTGGAACATGGCTTCACTAAGCACAAATCAGTACTTGAAAGTGGCCTATGAGAAAGCTGGGGAGGGACTTTTTGCAAGGACATCTAGCGACAGGACAAGATGTAATGGCTTTAGGCTGGAAGAGGGTAGATTTAGATTAGATGTTAGGAGAAAATTCTTTGCTGTGAGGGTAATTGGGTATTGGAATGGGCTGCCCAGAGAGGTAGTAGGTGCCCTGTCCCTGGAAGTATTTAAGGCCAGTTTGAAGGGGACTTGGAGCAACCTGGTCTCATGGGAAGAATTCTTGCCCATGGCACTGGAAGTTGGAACTAGATTATCTTTAAAGGTCCCTTCCAGTGTAGAACATGCTATGATTCTATGCATTCTATGATTTTATGACTGAAACAAATAACATATCTGGGGCTGGTTTTGTCCTCTATTTGTTCATCTTGTTACCATTGTTACAGAAAAACAGTGTGAATTTACCCATTGTGCAGGTTCTTGGGTTGGTATTCTGCTTTATACCTTAATTCCTGAAAAAAAGAACATCTGGAGAGTTACAGGTTCGGATGTCTCATCTCAATGCTAGTACAAAATTCATTTAGAGGATAATTAAAGTGAGGTGGAATACAATCTGACTCAGTGCATAGGTACAAATTCATACATGTGAAATTGATGCCTTTTTAACCCATAAGAGGTTACCAAAAATTAATAAAAAATAGATTTATATCACACTAATTGATGTAATTTATGTCTCTTTTTCTGGCAATGGGGTACATAAAAGTTCATTACAGTCAAGGAATAGCTATAAGATAAAATGCTAAGTCTTGTCACAGATTTTTAAAGTGGATAATCAGTAAGAAAGGAATCACAAGGACTGTTCCCAGGGCTATCAGGTACAATATCTGATCAGGCAATAAACCACTGATTTATATTTAACACATTCTTTAAAGTTAGCAAGTGTTGTTATTCATATTTCACAATCAGGAAACTGAAATAGAGTGCTATGTCAAATTCAGTTCTTGATAGCAATGAAAAGTGGGACAAGTCACACTTTTACAGTGTTTTCTCTCTCTGACAACAGAGGTCAACCTGAGACAGCAAAAATTTGCGGAAATTATCCCACCTTAAGACTAGTTTGATAATGAAAAGGGAAATATGCATATTTTCACTCATTGTACTATGAAACTAATTAAATCAAATAAAGAATTCTTTTAGGCAAGACTAGGAAAAAAGCTGAAATATTTCAGAAACAGTCTGAAAATTTCAGCACATTTGAACAATGGTGTGATGTTAATATCTATTTTATTTTATTTGAAAGTATGATCTGCCCTAAAAAAAAAAAAGCCATAAATATTTTTAAAAATTAGAAGTCAGTAACAAAATGTCTGATTTAGATTCAAACCTCAGCACTTCTCGTCAGAGTTAGAATATTACACAACATGAGCCATTCAATCTAAGCCACATCTGCCAGCTTAGAAATTTGCTGTGTCCAATATGCCTGTGGAGTAAAACCTATGGGATTCATTTTGTGTATATTTTAATTTCTCTGTTTCTTGGTAATTTCCAATCATATTTCTGCCACCTAATCTTTTTTTGGCAAATAATTATAATTTTTATTAGTGCGAAGCACTAAACTTCAAGCTCACATCTGGCCATATCAGGTCATGCTGGAGCCTTTGCTGATTTGAAATGGTCCTGGAAAGCACTTTGCAGATGAAAAGGAAAGGCTCAGCTGCTAGCACTTTAGTTATACAACCTTCACAGATCTGGTATTTGAAAAATAGACAGTTATTATTTTCTTCTCTTTTTATGTTTTTTTTTCTGATGGACTCTGCTATTATCCAGAAATGCTACTAGGATTTTCTGTCGTAGTATATCTACTGTCAGCTCATGATCTGCTCATGATCTGTTTACAGATTTTATAGGGGATAATAAATTGGCTTCCAAAAGGTTTCTCACTCTGCAATAGTTACCCACCTGTTGATCCCAGGTTTCTTTAATAGTTTATTGCCAAATATTAATCTGTAAATAAAAAATTCTTTGGTTAGTTCTCTCAAACCTAAATCCATCAATTGTTCATGATACCAATATAGAAAAATGCCATAACTCATTTCTGAAACCAGTGTTCTTCCGTGCTGTGATTTTTCTGATTGTGATTTTAATTCAGCAATCTGTATCCTAAAAAAGGATACATAGCATAGTTAACAAATGCCTCCTTCATCCCTTGTGCTGAGTTATTTGAATTGCATGGACCAAATAGGTCTGAATATTTTAGTATTTGAAAACAGTTCACACAAATGTATTTTGTCTGCTACAAAAAAGGGCTATGGTTATCTTTGACATTTACTGCTTGATTTTACATGCAGGCAAGTTGTGGAGGGTACTACTCATTGCAACCTGTTACAGTGCATAAAGCAAATAAAAATTATTCACAGTAAATGAGAAAGGTTGTACTGGAAAACTCCCACTGTTTATTATATATCTATCTCTATAGTCAGGATATTTGAGGCAAGATGGGAAGGTCAGCTATTCTGTTGTTACTGGTCCTGAATTTGCTATGTAGTTCTTCATATGGTGCATGTTTATTTGGTTCATATATGGTTTATAGTCTTCGGGTCTCCAGTATAATCCTGTGCCCTTTTGGTTATTGTCCCATAACATTACTTACCCTGCATCCCAGGGCTCCATTCTCAAAGCCCTTTCTGTCATACCTGACCTTTTTGCATCCAAACTACATTTTTAAGTCAACAGTGAATATTTTCATCCACATAAGTCATCAGCACGTTACTATTACTATAAACATTGGGGTTATGCCACAAAATTTTGAGCAAAGTGAAATTAATAAGTACTTGGTCATCAGAAAATTGTCATTACACTTAAACAAGCTAAAAACAATGCTCCAGGCAGGCCAAGGGGAGCTCCGATGCAGCCTATGAGCCTTGGCCCAGTTGGGGCAGAGCCTTTGGCTTGTAATTAGCAATAGCACATCTATAGAGATAAATGGCTCCAGGGCAAGGTGACACCATCTGGCTTGCTCCCTCTCTACTCTAGGACCAGCTCCAGCTTGCTGGCTTTTTCCCAAACCCCTAACACTTGATTCTGAGCCTAATCCTGGTGCTCAGTGGTAACATACTCAAAGAACACATTGCCATTGTGTTTGAGTGCGACTTTGAGCTCAAAGTATTCAAAAGAATTTGAGTTCCAACAAAGACATCACTTCTTTAGTTCAAAATGCAGCGTGAAATCTGCTCTGTGCCATGGGGTGTGGCTTTACCTTGAGGAAGAACACTTTGGAAACCTATTGGAGCAAAGCCTAAGTACTGGAGGACAGAGAAGAATGAAGGGGGGTCCATTATCCTCCCCTTTCAAGGGGAACCACGGACTCCCCATTAATGTATTATGCTTTATCCTTAAAAGAGTTATTTTGGGAAGGGGTGGTTAGATAAGAAATCAGGAAGAAAATTAATGTTCAATCAGTGCCAATGATAAGGGATGAATGCTCAAGCCTGTTTGACTGAGTAGATGTATCCATAAGTTTCAATGTAAGTCCATGTATTTTGATTAGATCTTTGAAGTTTTGAAAGTGTCTGAGACATATAGTCGACACTTTGTTGCTCTTTCCATCATTTAACACCTTTTTCAGACAAGCAGTGCCACATATTCTATATATTTATCGTATCAAATGGGACAGTGTTATTAAAATTACCCATACATTCCTATTTAGAGATCCATAAATAATTTTAATTATTGATTTTAATGGTATACCTGTTCCAACTGCTTCATTTCCATTAATTATTCATTAATATGCTTGGATTTCCTGCTGATACAATCTGAATGAATGAAGAATATTTCCTGTAACATTGCAAAATAATCTGGAAGACAAAAAAAGTGTGCATATATTTTTTTTAATTTTAATAAATTCAGTCTTGTTAAATACATTATATTAGAGGAACTGATAGGACTCTATCAAATGTGTAACTGTAGATGCATTGTCTTTTATTATTCTATTAATTTTAATAGTGGTAAGACAATCTGTTTTAAAGGAATGACATTGGTTAGCACTCTGATAAAAAGGCCTTTCGTTTAGAATTGCTTAAGAACATTTGGAAGGCCACAGAGGCTCAGAGATTAAAAAATAAAATTAGATGCGGGAGTGTCCTGAGATGTATATCTTGAAGAATTTGAAAGACAAAAACTTCTTAGCAGTTAAAGAAAATTGCACTGCAGGAAATGCTAGGATAAAATCCCCCCAAAAATTAATCTAAGGAAACACTAAGAAGTGGGTAACATTTTGCAGTATCCGAATTCTTCAATCACTCATATTTAATCACTTTTGCCATCTCTCCCACATCTTTTGTAGATATGTAACTATGCATTTTCCACCAAGAGCAGGAAAGGATCTCCAGGTGCAGATGTGCACGACAGCTCTCAGGTAGAGTGCAATAAGCACTATGAGACACTGGAAAAGAATACCTCCCCTCGCCTGCCCCTGCTTCTAACTAGGCAGGTGAGATAAAAAGTACACTTGCATATGGGGGTAAAAACAAAATCATGAATCTGTCACAAAAATCTGAACATTTTAAGCCAAGAAAGGGGAACTGAGGAGTTTGGGAATAGACTTGACAGAATCATTTTAATTGGCATGCCTTAAAACCAACATTTCTGAAGTACAGTCAGAATAGCTGTCTAACATCATAGTTCAGCATTAAATCAAACTACTCACAAATCCCTAATGACACTTGTCATTTTTGTAGTGTGGCCAGTTAGTTATTTTCACAAAGAATGTCAATCTACAAAGAAAACCCAATTTCCTTATTGAAGGAATCTATGATCAAAACTTTTTGGCTTATCTTAAACAGGAATTTTGATTAGGTTAAAGAAATGGTTTGACATATAAGGTTATCAAACCATCTTCCAGAAAATTATTTCAGGGGTTGGTTTTACTCTTTATTGAATCAAATAATATGTACAAACAGGCTGCTTTTCTCTACTCTAGTACACATATTGATGCTAAAATTATTTTTGTTGCATATATTTGTAGCTCTGTAGACTATTGTTGTGCAGTTATATAGCTCCTAGCTAACTCCAGTATTTTTCCTACCCTGATAGACAGAAAGACAAAACACATACCAAAAGGCTCCTATCCCATCTTGCTGTTTCTGGGAACTAAGGTTGAAACAGCTTCTCAAGACACTTTCTCATAAAGAAAGTACAGCCATTATAGGAAGTAGCAAGAAAGGGGAGTTCCAGAAGAGGATGAAGCAAGGGAGTAACTGCCTTATTACTTCTGCTTCTAATTGGAAATTCTTGTCAATTATGCTAATTTGCTAAACTTATAAAACTGTATTTGCCCTATGTGGGGTGGGCATTTTTCCATATCTGCCTTTGGAGGCCTCCAATTGAAAACCATCTTTTATATTGCCTCCTATACTAATATTGTCTTGAAAGTGTGTTGTTTTGTTTCTAGATCTTTAAGATATCAATATGGTTGTTCTTTTCATGAAGTCAAATTAAAACACAAAGAATTTGTTAAATTTCTTTGTAAATTTCAGAAAACTGTTACATTTAAAATCTGGAATGCATTCTTTTCAATAAATTTTACAGTCTGCTTTTTGGTATAATTATTTATCATATACACCATAGAGAACACAACAGCTATCAATCTTTCCCATAATACTTTAGCACATTTACCCAAAAGTCATGCCCAAAATAGTAAGGCTAATATTAGGATACAGGAAATTAATTTGCATAAAATCTGGCAGTGCAAGAAGCACATTGTATTATCCAACTAACAGAGATCTTACTGATTTATTCTTTTGTTATATATATTTTATTATATTATATTTTTAAGATTTAAATTTTGACAATCCTTTCTCTCATATATTTCTTATGAAGTAGTGAGTTTGCCAGGTGCACTGCAGTGATGAATGATCTTACAAATATACTTCTCCACTGAGCTGGTGATTCATACAAGTGAAATATTTTTTTCAGTAAACTCACAGGATTTCTTTTCCTGCTATAGGTTGTTATTTAAAACATTGTAGCTTCTAGTGATTTCTATTGCAATGCAGTACAGGCAGCTGTATATGAGGACATTTTAGTAATGAACATCATGATCATCTTTCACTGAAAGAAAGGAGGCTATCAGGAAGCTGCCTCTGACCATCATTAGACTGAATAAAGTTTGCATTTAGTGTGAAGAAAGAAAATGTCCTTAATCCACTAATTCAGCATAAACATCTCTATTAACTAATCCTCTCAAACTGTAGCAAATGCCACGCTACTTCATAACATCATGCATTTCAGGCTCAGGATAATATTTCTGATTTGGAGAAAGCTTTAGCATTTATCTATACCATTCACCGAAGTGTCTTGCAATGCTTTTGGTGGTACTAAAACATACTTGGGTTTTTTGTTGGGATTTGGGAGGGACAATTGTTGGTGGGTATTTTTGAGGTGCTAGGTGCTCCCCTCCCTATGACTTGGCACAATTTTGCTTGATTTATTTAAATCCTATATCATTGTTTTTCATGTGAGTTAGATCCCTGCAAATTCTAAACATTAAGCAATCTGAACTAGTTTATATATACACAAAGCATTTGGAAGTCATTGAACTTCTCAGCATTTCCACAGCTCTGTAAATAGCATTATTTAATATATTGCTTTTCATTATGCATGCATTGAAATGATTCACATTGAAATGATTTATCTTATGGTCAGCAAAGGTAGTATTCCATGAAAAATTTGGATAATATGTGATGTGAGCAACAGTATTTATATAAATGCAGTTGGTGCTTGTGCTGCTGTTCCGAGTCACTGCTGTGCTGCTGGGGGCAAGAAACGGTTCTGCTGAGCATGGCATAGATGTGACCCCACGTGAGGTGACCCCAAGGTCCTCCTTTCCTTGAACCAGGGTGAAACGTTCCCATTTATTTCCCTGGGTTGCTGAGTCTTAAAGAGACACTACAACAGGTTGCAGGTGATGTACAGAAAATATTAAATATAATACCCACATTTTTGGGTCCCCTAGGTCTCATAGGACAAGCGACAGCTATGTCCTGGGTGCATCAGGTCTATCACAAGCTGGACAAAGAGCTGACTGTGCTGATGTACTTGACACTGGTGTGGCCTCACCTCAAGTGCTGTGTGCAGTTTTGGGCACCACAATACAAGAAGGACATCAAAGTATTAGAGCACGCCCAGAGGAAAATGATCAAGGTGTTGAAAGGCCTCAAGGGAAAGAATTATGAGCAGCAGGTAATGTCACTTGGCTTGTTCAGCTTTGGGAAGAGAAGGTTGAGAGCTGACCTCATCACAGGCTACAGTTTCTTGAAGGAGGGCACTGGAGAGTAATGTGCTGATCGACTTTCTTCGGTCATTCGTGATAGGACACAAAGAAATGGAATGAAGTTGTCTCAGAGGAAGTTCAGATTTGACATTAAGAAAAGATTCCTCCCTAAAAGGATGGTCATCACTACAACAGGCTTCCCACGGAAGAGGTTTGTCATGGTAAAGAGAATGTCAGAACCCAAGAAGCCCTTAGTCAACAATGCCCTTAGCCATAAGATATTTTATTTCAGGTAGTCCTGTGATAAGCTGGGAGGTAGGCTAGAAGACCCTTAATAGTCCTTCCAACTTAAGGTCTTCATATGATTTTATGAAACTTATCATAAACTAAGGACCATTTTCAATAGATATTTTTCATAAACATCCCTTGCCATGGAAACAGTTTAGCAGTTTGTGTGCAGACCAATCCATGGTGAAAGAAACAAAGATCTGTGCGGAACAAATTTAATTTATTATCAGAGATTCAGCTGATTTCACTTAGCTTGTCTATTACAGATATCCTAGCCAAGACAATCCTATCCAAACTCAGAATACTATAATAATTAAAGCCTTCTCAGCTAATGTTAGTCAGCTAGGATGGGATTCCTTTGCCTAAAGATAAATATCTACTGCAAATTGAAATGTCCTACCATATCCTGGGTGGTCTTCCACTGTCATGTCAGAAGGATGGAGTTCTATCTGTTTTGTGTCTTATGTGTCCTATGTGGCTGTCTCAGATATTGTAGAACTTCTAAGGGGGAGTAAGTTTAGGCAAGTAAATTACAGACAGTAACTGAGTAACTTTGTAGAATCCAAATACTCAGACTCAATTAATTGTTCACAAGTAGGAGTCTTGCCCCATGTGAAATATTCTAACTAATCAAAGCTTTTGAAAAGGACTGAAAGAATTGCCAGAGCATGTCCAAGAGACCTCTTCACACAGTAGATATATAAACTTGAGCAACTGAATGAAGTCCTAATGACTGGAAATCCAGTGACCAAATGAGAATCAAAATGCTGAATGCGCATGTAGATATCTAAAATTAGGAGAAAGTTGAGTCCTACTGATATTCTGAACCACCTATTTGGGATACCTGTATAATCAGTGGAGACATTCTGGCAACTGGCATTGCATCTCTCAGGGATTCACCCCTTTCAGCAATTGTTTGGAAATGCTTCTGCGTGCTGACTAGAATGTGGAAGAAGAAATCTAGCTAAGATTAATGAGCTGGGAGACTGAATCTCACTTCAAGTGCCTAAGTAAGTGTGGGTCTTTCAAAATCTAGGGTTTAATTACCTAAACACAGGGCCCAATTGTATTTGCTGTGCCCTAGGACATACATATAATGCACAAGACCTAACTGAATATTTCTGAATGGGCAGGTGGCAATCAAGATACCCCAGGTTATCCTAAATTTCATTAGATGCCAATATTAAGGCATCTGAACTGATTTTCTACAGTCAATTTAAAATCAGATGTCCTCATGAAACTAGAAAGTTATGGCATAGATATAACTAAATAGTCCTTACCTATTTTAACAAGTTT